AAATTTTATTTTAAAACTGTAATTTAATAGCTATTTTATTGAATTTAATATAATTAAATTAATATTAGGGGGTTGTGTGAATATGCTTTAACCTCTAACCTGACTTATTTACATACCTGGTTGTGCGGAAAATACGTGACCCTAAACGCACCACCGGTTGTGCGGGTATAAGTCCCCAATAGATAACAATAGATAAGGTAAAGTACCAAATCTTCACATCTTGTATTATATCATCACATTCCAGAAGTTGGCAGTCATCGATTTAAGGTTTGCGTTATCCCTTTCAACAACGTGCTATATCGCACGGCACCCGAACCTGATTCGTTGAGTGCCAATTAGACTTTTCTCGCTTGCCAGTGACAATAACGTCTTTGCTGCATTCGCCCTAGACCTTGAAAGATCCTTTCGTGTTAGCGGAGCCATTGTGTAAATCGGAGGTTGGCTGAGCAGCGGGCCATGAAAATGATCGGTTGCTCGGCAGTAGCTCAGCTGTAAAAGTGGTGGAACTATTATAATCACAGTGGTTGGGTTTTCTGAAGTGCGATTGTGATGCCAAATCCATGAGTCGGTCGTCTTAACATTGGCAACCCATTTGAAGAGTGGAGATCTTCGACCGAGATCCTCTTCTAGTTCAAACTTTGGTTATGTCATGAGAGAAAAATGGCACAGTAGAAGGAGGTTGGTGTGCTAGCAGAATCAATGCTAGGCTTTTTCACCATGGGACTTAACATGTGTATATAACCTCTGAGACATGCCGTCTGAGATTCAAACATCACCAACCCACGACATTACAGCACAACTGAGAACAAAGATACTTTCAATCTTCACACCCAATTACCCGATTGTTCAACTTCAGCCAACCCTCCTTCCCAGTCATGAATAAGCTCATCTCACTTTTGACTCTTGTTTCAGCGGCGTTGGCCCTTCCTTTTATATCCTACGATGAATGTAAGAAGGTTTACAACGCTTGCATCGCGGCTGGAACACCAGAAGTAGCATGCTCTTGCACCCTAACAGCTTGTGTTGGTGAAGATAGTGCGCGAATTCGCGACTATTGTTCTTCTGCCACAGCATCTCTCGCGCAGCCCACCAAGACAGGAATTGCATCTGCTGGCAAGAACAATACACTTCCCGTTGAAACCGTCACTCCTATTCCTGGTATACCAGGAGGTTGCAATCCTGCTCATCCTGGATCATGCCCGCCGCCTTATCATACGGGACTTCCCCCGACCTTCACCCCTATCCCTATTGTCCCTGGGGGATGCAGCCCAGCCCACCTAGAACTTTGCGTCTCAGCTCATGCCACCTCTACTGCGACTTCAGCCGCAACCCACCCTCCCTATCCCGTCCCGACCAACGGCACTCAACCAGTACCTGGCATATATCCTAGACCCACGCCTGTGATTGGCAAGACTTGGGCTATCCAGAATCTCACGCGTTATTGCGGTGAAGATGACGATGGATGTGACTATAACTTTATAGTTGAGGCCGATGGCAAGACCGAGAGATGTACCATCGTCCGTATGCCTGGCTCCAATGCTGCTACAGAAAGCTGGGCCAATGAGCCTTGCACTGATGGGTCTAGCTTGAGGATCTCTTGGGGTTATGTTACTGAGCCTGCTCCTGCTTTTGCTGTCATCACCGTCGTGAGACTTAAAGAGCTTGCTTGGTTCGGCGTCAGCGATGTGAACGGCCAGAAGGTCACATCATCGAACCCCTACGGCTCTGGGGACTATGGCTCTCTGGGGCCAGAACAGGTTTACACCTACTAGGCAATGAAGATAAATACTTACGCTTCACTTGGGAAACATATTAGACACGGATTTGATGAGGAGATGTGGTGATGGGAATAGAATAATACTGGAATAAATAGATCATACAGACGGATTAAGATGGTAATTTACTATATATAGTTGTAATAGAAACCGGTAGCAGGAATTGAATCTAAGATTGAGCTATTTTGCTGCTTGGTTTGTGACTCATTGGATTGATACTCTTTGTATGTTGAACATGAAGCAATCAACTTTCAATAACTCGATTACGGTCCGCTCTGAGATTGGAGTTGAGTTTATATCATCGGTAGATTTCACACCCAAGATTTGCCAAGGTCTTCCCTCATAGTTTCGAACACGCCAAGTGTCTTGACAGACTGACACGGCCCGATCGTTTCTTGGATATCTTGGCTTCAATCAAACCTCGGGACAATAGACTCCGCAACAACCATTATGGGAATTGCGCCCGATTGTAGAGTATGAAGCGTAGCTTGTCGCAGGAAGAAGTGATTAGAGATTAGAGATGAAATTCTCCGTCATTTGTGGAAATTTAAGCTTACTGCATCTTGGCTCAAGGTCTTACTTGTAGTCTTCAGCAGCAACCTACAAAGCCAAGAGTGCCGAGGTGCCAAGTGCGACGTGTATAATTACAGTGGCATCGTTGGACACCCGAGCTTCCAGAAGGACGTGTAAAAGCATGGGTAGATGGTGCTACATAAGGAAAGAAGAAGCCTCGTGAAATCAAATTTGAGCTTGAACCAAGATATTCTTCTCATTACTTTTGTTTGCCGTTCTTTCGTGGGCTCGCTCCAATCTACATTCCTTTATCATGTTTATCTTCAAGTATATACTCGCCGTACTGCCTGCAGCCCTGGCTAAGGACATTTTCGTAGCTCCCAACGGATCCAGCAGTGGTTCTGGCTCTAGCAGCTCCCCTCTGGCCGACATCCAGTCTGCAGTTAATGCTGCCGGCGCCCGAGACACTATCTATCTCCGAAATGGGACCTACCGTCCGTTCAAGAACATCCACTTCACAAAGAAGGGATCCTCTAGCAAGCCCTACACCATCAGGTCCTATAACAATGAAGAAGTCATTATTGACGGTGACAAGATGCCTGGTACTCCGGCTGCACTTAGCACCAGCCTCGCTGGCAAAGATCGCGGTATCTTTCATGTCGAGAAGGCTGAGTACTGGAGATTCATCCACATCACCCTCACCAAGGGCCCCTACGGTGTCTACGTGAAGAATTCACATAACAACTACTTCGAGCGCTTGACCACTCACAGCAACTACGAGACTGGGTTTCACATGCAGAATAGCATCTCGAACAACGAGATCGTTTACCTAGACACCTACAACAACGCTGATCCCCGCAACAATGGCCAGAATGCTGACGGCATGGCCATCAAGGAAGGCTCAGGCGCTGGTAACATCATCCGCGGCATTCGCAGCTACGAGAATGCCGATCATGGTATCGATCTGTACGAGTTCAAGTCTTCTGTCACCATCCTTGACAACATCATCTTCGACAACGGCGTGAATCGTTGGAGCTTCAACCTTTACAGAGGAGATGGCATTGGCATCAAGCTCGGAGGTGGATCACCCGCCAATCGAGTCAACGTCAACCATGTCGCTCGGAACAACTTCTCCTTCCGTAACCGCCGCGGTTTCAGTGACAACAACATGCCCGGTGACATGACTCTCATCAATAACACTGCTTGGAAGAACCGTGAGGAAGGTTTCAACCAACGCTCTTCCAAGGCTACCTACGAGAACAATCTTGCTGCTAATAATGCCGGCTCCAGCAGCCTGAGCAAGCAGAACACACTCGCTTCGGAGAAAGGTAAGGGTAACAACTCGGAGAAAGGTGGATCTTGGCTGGATGCAGACTTCAAGGCTACCTCTACTAGCCTTATCAAGGGACGTCGGCAGGCGAATGGTAAGATCACTCGAAGTGACTTTCTTCGCCCTGCTAATGGAGGCAACTATGGAGCTACCACTCACGGGGTCTGAAGCCCTTCATATGTGACGATTGGCAGGCTTTCTAATTCGTCAGTAAACAGCATTGAGGTTTGAACAGTCATCGGGATACTAACTTTTCAGCCAAAACCAAGATCCTAGGCAACAGTGAGGGCAATGAGTTGCCTGTATGTGTTTATTGTGTTCTTTACCTTTGTGCGCTGGGGGCTAAAGCCTCTTTTAACTACCCATAACCTTATCACAGAGGTTTGAGCAGGGCAGGGTTTTCAATACAGTCGAATCTCAGTTATCATCTTCCCTCTTGCTTCTCACGTGAATGTTTCCATGTTGCATGAAATGGAAGGGTTCTGAACCCTTATATTTATATTGAAGGCAATAGAGGAGACCGTGAATGATGGACAAAGTGCATTGGCACAAAAGACAACACCAATGGCACAATTTAGCAGCTAAGATCCGTGCCAAGTTTACGGAAGACCAGTCATTTTGACTTGGTCAATGTCCTTGTATCAATCAAGTCATCGTATGCTGGTTCGATGAATGGTCAATTCGACCAGACATAAGAGCTCGGCTCTTGCCACCACTTTCATCAACCAAAGTTGGAGTATTCTTGAATCGCCAAGCAGGGATATTTCGGGCATAAAGCTCATCGAGCTCCCAATAACTTCGACCATAGGTCTAATAATGTTAGTGTAAGTCGCTTTGTAGCCATTTGGGGCGCACTGACCTCGGGGTAGAAGAACCAGAGAAGAACAGTCGTGGGTACCAATAGTCCAGCCCAGACAAACACAGCCTTGACCCCAAGATTACCAGCATCCGGGCTGATCATGTAGGAGACAGTCCATTGGAAGACAACACTGAAGACGGTATGTTAGTCAACAGTACGAGCATCGTTTAAAGCAACTTACAATCCAAGACCATAGCAGCCCAAATTGAATGAGGTCGTCTGAGCTCGTAGACGTGGGGTAGAGGTTTCGCCAGCTGCAACAAAACCGATTGGTCCGGCTGAACAGCCGTAAGCGATGACCCAGAGGAGAAGACATCCCAAGGCAGCTTTATCGGATGCTGGGTTCTTGAAGAAACCAGTAGTTCCAAGGCCAACGTTGAAAAGCATCATGGCGAAACATCCACTGGATAATCGGTCAGCATCGGCTTCATCGGCTTCATCGGCTTCATCTGCTCTCTGATTCGGACTCACCCAACAAGGAGAGGTCTACGACCAATGAACTCGCACGCGATGAGAGACGACACAATTGCGATAATAAGTAGAACGAAGCTTAACCTGTTAGCGGAAGAAGAACGGTGGACTCGACACTCTAATACTTACGTGATAATGGTGACGAGGAAGGGATCCTTCAGACCAGCAACAGCGAAGAAGTACTGGCAACGTACATGTCAGCTCTTTACAACATACACGATTGCAGACAAGACTTACTGTCGAGTACGAAAACACAATTGGTGCTCCAGCAGCCCATTGACTGCAAATACCCATGCATCCAGCCAGTGTTCTTCGCCAGTTATGCTTATCGAAGATCTCAAAGAAGGACGAAGACTTGGACTCGAGATGCAGCTGGCGCTCAGCTTCAATACCGTGCTGAATGACGCGGTACTCATGTTCCTAGTAGGCGATAGTATTAATATCGGTTGCGGGACCTGTTTATGAGCCGGTACTTACCACATCGTACCCATAAATATTGCCATAGAGTGTGAGCATAGACTTTTTGGCCTTGTCATCCTCTCCCTTACGAGCGTAGTAGATATGAGACTCGGGAACGAACCATACCATCAAGATCAGAAGCTTAGAGAGGAAAGTCAGTTTGCGACCCCCCAATTGTTAGACAGTGGATACCTACTCCAGTAAAAATGAACTCAGTGGCAATCAGAGGTCTCCATTTGGTCGGCTGATGAATAGTAATGAGCTGTGTTGCGATCGCGCTGATGAGCTGTCCGATACCGAGGCAGAGCTGATAGGCACCAATCATCAGACCTCGAATCTGGAAAGGTGTGAGCTCCGAGACGTAGGTGATAAGGATCGACTGTGCAAGCCCGACACCAAGCCGGACCAGAACGGCAGCTCCAAGCCAGCTCTTCCAGTCGGAAGCTGTAATCTCGGCAATAGAGCCTCCAAGAAGTATAACGATCGCACCGCAGAGAGCCTTCCTGGAGACTAGTCAGCATGTTGACAGCGTTGAGCAAGTCTAAAGACTCACTTTCTACCCAATCTATCGGCAAAGTAACCACCAGTGAACATGCCGAGAGTCTTGGACATCTCAGCAAAGCCCTGCCAGTAGGAAACAACTCGAGCGCTGACGGCTGGCTTCCCGTTGATGGTGGTGTCGTGCATGGTGTTGATGAAGGCTTGCATCGGGATGACGTTACCGGGGATCTGTTGCTGGAACTGCAGGGGATTTCTTTTTTAGCATAGATCAAGAACGAAGAGCAAAGAACCACACTTACGCCATCATTCAAGGCTGCCCAGTTCAAGATCATGCAGAAAAGGAGAGCCTTCCAGAAGGTCTTGACAACGGCCCATCGTCCAAGGGCTAACATATTTCTAGTCAGTAGCCATAAAGATATTCACGTTCGTTAGAACTTACATGCAAACTTGGTCTCGTAGACTTGGTTATCTATGCCAAGTGACTCTTTGGTAAGAAGATCGATTGGTTCTGGGTCGTGGACGACAGTCGGCTTCTCTGAATGTTTGGAAGTCATGTTGCTGCAATTGTGGTTTGGGCAATTAGGGACGCTTTAGAGATTGATGTTGGTCTGATGGAACAGGAGTCCAGTAAGAGAGGACCTCGTGGATTAAATAGTCAAGGAAAACTGTGAAGCAGAGAAATGTCCATATATAGTCTCACGGTCCACTGAACTCCGGAGCAGTTCGAGACCCCAGCTTTTCCCCGCGGGGAATGCCCTCTTCGAGATTAGGTGCCAGACTAGTGGGATTATTCGAAAGGGTTAAAAGGAATAAAACCAAATCTAGTTCCATAGCGTTAGGGGAGCTAGAACTACGACTAACCCTATTGTAGGTTCTGTTAAAACAAGGTCGCTGATGGCCGGCTGTGAGACCCTTCAGCCAAAAGGGATACTCCGACGGACCTGGTGATGAAGACGGACTGGCCCAAACAGTTTGCTTTCAACTTTACTACTCTCACTTTCTGCTTCTCTTCCTTTGTCCCTACGCCCACAGTGCTGTGAGGCGTCACTGTTACTACAAATATTTGCCGGAATCCAATCAACTACGTGATGACATATCGCTGCTCACCATGCCGTCCGCCTCTTGCCCGGATCCCTTACTCCCTGACAATACACATGATGACGAAAGGAGAGCAAACTCCGACTTGCAATTCTGAATTCTAGAAGCTAATTTGTGGTCACTAAATAGCCTGTCCCGCGGAACTAAAGCACCCAATCACGGCATGTGGTGACCTCTCAATGGTGTCGGTCACAGTGAGCCGTGACCCCGCTCAAGACAGCCACGAGGACGAGTCAGTTATTCTATTGCGGTTGTATCGGTCGACTAAACCCCGACGAGGATGGAGATCAGCAAACCACCAACAACACTATAAATATTCTCACCGTCATTGAGAATGTGGCCAATCCTCGTTCTACACCAAATTGCAAGATCGTCACTAAAATGTCTATGAACGAATCCGACTGTACCGTCCTACGGGATGGCTTCCCTAGACCCTTTCCCGACACCCCTGCCAATGTCTTGGAACAATTCAAGATGACTGGCAAGGTAGTTGTCGTGACTGGTGGCGCTGACGGTATTGGCTACGCTGTTGCGGAGGGAATGGCCGAGGCCAACGCTCATGTGGTATTATGGTACAATTCGTAAGTCATACTGTTCCAACCAAGACTCCTGCTCAGTGACTGACAATCTTTCAGGAACGACGTGGCTATACAGAGAGCCCAGGATCTTGGGACTAAGCATAATGTCAAGACTGCTGCTTACAAAGTCGACGGTATGTTCACGGTGTCGTGTTGAAACCCTGGAAATCTGAATTTGACATGACAACAGTATCCGACGCTGAGTCCGTGCAAAAGACGGTAAACAAAGTCGTACAAGACTTTGGCAGAATAGACGTTTTCGTCGCCAATGCTGGAATGGCTATCAGCAAGCCGATCCTAGAACAGACCCTCCCCGAATTTGACAAGCAAATGTCCGTGAACGGTATGTTAAGTCCATCTCGTGTCTCCCGCTGAATACCCATCTAACCCTTCGCAGTCAATGGCGTTGTCTACTGCTCCAAATACGTCGGCGAAGTCTTCAAGCACCAAGGCAGCGGTGTTCTCATCATCACCTCTAGTATGAGCGCGCACATCGTCAATGTCCCCGTTGACCAACCTATTTACAATGGCACCAAAGCATTCGTGACGCATTTTGGCAAGTCATTAGCCCGCGAGTGGAGAGAATTTGCCCGCGTCAACATCGTGTCGCCAGGGTTCTTTGATACCAAGATGGGAGCTGGTCCACTGGCACTTAACGAAGCTTATCGCATGTCGGTGCTAGGCAGACAAGGGCATGTAAAGGAGATCAAAGGCTTGTATTTGTATTTGGCCAGTGATGCTTCCACTTATACCACTGGATCAGACATCATCATTGATGGTGGTTATGTACTCCCTTAGTGTCTAGGAATGCCAACATATAGAATTTCCCCAAACTATCATTCTTCAAAAGCATCTTGGGGAAACCAATCGTTAAACAAAGTATCCATGGGTGCATTATCAAGGTAGCCCCATGGGGTATTATCCAGAATCATCCTCATTGTAGGATCTGATCCATCGTCGTTCAGTGTCCACGTCCCAATAGAGAGATCCCCGTCACCGAAAGTCTGTGGATCAGCCGGTGGAACCGATACCTCAGCGTCACCCACTGGGGGCTGGAGTGTAGCTGGTACTTCTTCAACAAGCTCAGGTACTGTGAGAACAGTTCGCCGAGTGTTGGCTGCTGTTTCTGCCCTTCTGTTTATGAGTTCCAAAATCTCCAAGCACCGCTTGGCTGACCTGGTTCTCGCTGAGAAAGTTACCAGGCAACTCTGTGCCTTGTGAACCATCAGTCGCCAATCGGCCGTCTCGTTATCTAGCTTGTCTTGGGCCTCACGATCTAGATAGCTCGCTTCAAGGACAAGAGCGGCTTGGAACAGGAAATATGTGGCATACCAGACAATTCCCAAATGCAGGATACCTTCATTTGTACTGCAGAAAGCTGTTATATCGTTTATGCTTTGCATGGCAGCATCAAGACAGCGTGTTTCAGCATCGGTCTTGTTCGGCAGATATGGATGGTTTCGTTTACTTCCGCGCCAAAGAAGAATGCGCAAATTCTGTTCTTTCCACAAAACAACAGCCCGTGGACCAGCGAACCATACTGGGACGTCTGCAGAGGTGAAGTATTGTGGCAGTCCTTGCCGCCATTCGGTGAGGGTCCGTTCTATAGTCTCGGCGATTCGATACTCGACCTTTGTGTTGGATGTTTTCGCGGTGAGATACTCCAGATATAGTGAATTAGCGTGTTTCGCAAGTTCTGCTTGTGCGATGATGGCAGAAAGTGTCGTTGGTGTGCCGACCTCGGGAGGGACTGGCATGGTGGGTTCGAGGTCCTGCTGTTGTTAGTATATCACAATCGACGTCGCTTTACAGGAAAAACAAATGAGGCGCAATTACCTTGTCATCGATATTTCTTGGTAGTGCAGTATCAATAATGCCTTCCTGCGCATAAGGCGGTCTCCCCGTTGTGATATTGAACCCGCTATCGAAGCAGTAAAGTACCCAGAACAACTGCCTCCGCCTTTCAAGTCCAACGTTGTCTTGTAATTTCGGCGATTCTCGATGCATTCCAAGTCCAAGTGCCATCTTGTACGCGATACCTGTGAACTGATATCCCGTGTTTGGCTTGTCCATCTTCTGCAGATAATTGCTCATCAGAAGAAGCGCTTGCAAGGTTTCAAGCGTCCCAGACTCTAGCATATGGATTGACAACGAGTTCCTCGCAGCCGTGTAAAATCGCGACCCTGCGTGGTGCTTATCTGACGTTGATATCCAGTGCCCGATGGCTAACACAAGGTAGTAGATGATGTTCCATGATGACTTGCCACGTCGCATGCCCCGAGCGGCAAGTTTCTGGCGGAATGATAGTTCGTGAAGAATTGGATACGAGACATTATAGAATAAGAAGTATGCGTCGATGAAATAGTTTGTTAATGACTCGTTTGCTAGATTTGGCGGATCGAGGGACGGTTTTGACTTATGCGTCTGACTGGGAGATTTTCCATGGCTCGTGGCAGGGGAATTTGACGCCGCGAGTTCTGGAAGCATCGATGCGATTTCTTGGAGAAGGTTTGCGCCGGAACTACTGCCTGGGGGGAGTTAGATTCTGAGCTATTTGGCGTGATGGTGAGATGAATGATGGGTCGACGTACCTAAATATCCAGCATCGAGGCCATTCAGCGTAGCCATTCCATCCATAACCGCAACCTCATCGTTTTGACTGTCGAAGTCTGGTGGCAATGATGGTTCACTCCACTCATACTCATGTGCTGGCTCCTCATGCTCAGGAGAGTCATCGTCCGACTCTGGCTCAGTCCGTTGGACGACCTCTTGACCAGACTCTAGGTTGGCGAGGGCAACGTCAATATCTATATCAGGATGCAGCGACCGAATTAGAGCCTCCAGCTTATTACAGCGCAGTTCAATGGCATCGAGATTCTTGCGCGTAAGCCGTGTCCGATCAGGTGGGTTCACGAAGCTGCAGTCCTTGCCCGCGCGGGCGCAGTAGGAACATGGCCCAGGGCCATTCACGCTAGGTTGGCATCGGCTCTTGCGCTTCTGGCAATTGAGACAAGCTCGAAGTTGGCTCGAAGAACCGTGCATCGGAGGACGACCCATTTTTGGTCTTGCATATGCACGCGTTGTCACGAAAGAGAAGGGGAGTTATCATGAGGGCAGGGTTCGGAACTAGCGTCATTCATTCATCGGAGCACTGTTGGCCGACACCTGCAATAGCCACCAAGTGCGGAGTAACCACCTTCGGAGGCCTGGAGGCCGACAAATATGGGGGTCATCAGAAGCTCCAAGTTGACCAATTAGCCTCATGAGCTATTCAAGGCAAACTGCACTTTTATTGACCAGACGCAACTAGAGAAACTCATGCGTCTTCAACGCTTTTGACCTTGATGTTCGGCTGAATCAGACAACGCTGTATATCCTCCCCATTCTTCATGTCATTGTTCCTTGCTCTATTCATCGCCGCCTCTAGTGTCTTCTCAATGCCGCATGCAACATGCCTCTTCGCAACCCTTTGTAATGCCAATTGAGGGTCGACATCAACGAACCAAGTCTCATCTGCATAATTGACAACCTGGTCCCAAGGGTGTTCATTGTACAAGAGCCAATTGCCCTCCACCAAAACAATCTTGACATTCGGACTTATCTCAATGGCATCGGGAACGGGGTCTTTTATCTCATGATCGAAGCTCGGCATGTACAGCGTAGTGAATGGCTTCTCTCGCGAAGCGTGTAATTGCTTGACCATATCAAGAACCGCTTGACCGTCAAATGTCCAATGTGCGCCCCTTCGTGCATGGGCTTCGACATGGTTGGGAAGACTGTCGAGGTACGAGCGTGAGTAATGATATCCATCCATTGGAAGAACTTTCGCGATCGGAATCGAATGGTGCTCATTTATTCTCTGTGCGACTTGAGCGGCGATAGTTGACTTTCCGGATCCTGGAGGGCCAGCCAGGATGATAATGGCTCTGGCATCTGTGGATCGTTGGTGTAATTGCTGTAGAAGACTCAGAGCACGTTGCTCAAGTTGCGTGTAGATATCATCCATTGTGATCATGGGCGGGAAGTGACAGAGAACTGAAATGGTAGAGAAGTTGGAAAATTGCAGAATACTCAATAGAACAAGAGCCGAACTTGCGGTTGTTATTGGACCTCATCTCCACTGTTGCATTCACGGCCTTTGTAACGTCTCGGGTGACAGTACTCCGATGCTCCATCGGACGTGGGGTACTTGGTCCGGGTTATAAAGGTCATTTTCGTGGTAACATCAAAGAATCAGATCGGCTACACTCGTTCCATCATCTTTTCCTCCTTCTACGATTTATAGGCGCAATCAAAATGGCTCCCGGTGCTACAGAGCTTCCTGATAGGGACGCGCTCACTGCGAGAGCAGTCCCCTCCATGATCCTCAGCGACGGCTCAGCATCGTCTCTGACTGCACCACCAAGCAACAAAACCGCGATTGATCCAGCCGCTGGAGCCAAAGAGCGATTTTCAGTGCGCGGCAACTTTATCGTTACTGGGGGTACAGGTACTCTTGGACTTGCTTCATGTAACGCTCTGTTGGAACATGGACTTGAAGGTCTTACAATCCTCGACGTCAATCCAGCACAAGCCAAGGAGGAAATCACCTCTCTTCAAGCACGTTTCCCTCATGTAAAAATCATGACATTGAAGGTCGACGTTACAGATGAAAAGGCAGTGCAAGACGCCGTTGAGAAGACAGTGGCGACTCTGGGCTCAGTTGACGGTCTTGTCTGCTTTGTCGGTGTCGTTGGATGTGTTGAGACGTTGGAAATGCCTGTATCTCAGTGGCGCAAGATCATTGACATCAATACGACTGGGTCGTTTATCTGTGCACAAGCTGCAGCCCGTCAGATGGTCAAGCAAGGCACTGGAGGATCGATCACCTTCACGTCGTCCATCTCAGCGCACCGCGTTAACTATCCCCAACCCCAATCGGCTTATAATGTCAGCAAAGCAGCCTTACTGGCGCTAAAGAACTGTCTGGCTGCGGAGTGGGCTCGTTACGGCATTCGCACCAACACCATTAGTCCGGGATATATGGACACTATCTTAAATGAGGGCGATGGAATATCAGGGCATCGTAAGATCTGGGCGGAACGGAACCCGAGTGGCCGTATGGGTGCTCCTTGCGAGTTGACGGGTGCGGTGGTGCTGTTGGCAAGCTCTGCGGGAACTTACATGAACGGAACGGATATTGTCGTAGACGGAGGAGCGATCGTATTCTAAATAGAGGGTCAATAGAGTTGCATGTTCAACATAATACCCCTACAGCGATCCTGCAGCGGGTATAGTAAGTTCAAATGTGCAATAAATAACCATATTTGGCTTGGTAGATTGGCCGACATAGTTTAGAGAAACACAGTTGATGTGATCTCTCAACCATTGAATAGCAATTGCTTGCTTCGGTGAACCCTTGTGATCACGTAATATGATGGGCCTTGATGGATTCTTCCAGCAGACATTATAACATAGAGCCGCAAGTTCATATGGGGCTGCCTAATGGCCCTCGCTTTGATGACGACTGACTAAACTTGCTCTCTGCTGATTTAAGCTCTCGGCCACAAGTCTCAACTAGCTACGGGGTAGTAACTGGGACATTATACCACGATGACGACCCACACCAGTTGACGGGCTCATCTTGACTATCCATTATCTCATCATCCGAAGCTTCGAGAATCCAATACCCAGCGACTTGCTCATCTTCTTGGACGACCTGGTATGGAGGCCTGGGATAGCTGTCGACATATGGCAACACCACAGCCGCCATGTTTCCATTGAAGTCTCGCCAGACCTGCTGGTAAGACCGTCTATTATAATAGGAACTTATGCCATCGCTATTTTCAAGAGTTTCTGTAGCTTCATGGTGCAGCGTTCGAAAGAAGTAGTCCGGAAGTGCAAAAGCGCACTCCGTGAGGTGAGTCATGCGCTGAATGAATGAATCCAATTGTCGAAGAATTATCTCTTTATATGTCTCAAGGCCAGCAATCCCGAGGAAGCATTCTTGGCCGTCGTTAAACCAGATGTAGAGCCGTCGCAATACAGGAAACTGGGATGGCAACAGTAGATCCAACACAGATCTGAGATGATCCTGATCCAGATCATCATATTCTTTGTGGGGAGTGCACTTGGTCTTGAAAGGCCAGATAACTTCGAGAGAAGTCACTGTGGCAAGACGCTGAGGGAGTAATATCTGTGGAAGACGGTTGATCATACTTGAACCTTGTAGTATCAGAGTGTTCGTGGAGTACAGGATATCAACTGTCTCCAAGTAACTGCCAACATAAGTTAGTACCATGAGCCTTTCAGCGGAATAGAAGATAAACTTAGCCACGTACTTCTGACTGCAAGAAAGAAGCCAGCCCATTACACCAACGTGACAGGCTAAAGGCCCTTCCTGTTCTTTCCATGCCTCGCAAATCCTAGAGTCGCCTCCGTTGCGACAACAGTCAACCCATGGCCCTAAAGCCCCCCCTCGGGTCATAGGGCCTTGGCCCTTTATCTCGTCAGGATAGGAGCGGTGACATCTCGAACTCCACCATTGCCATGTCGCTGGCTTAGTTTCATCAAGAACCCTAGTCTCTTCACCTGGATAATCTCCGGGGCCGACGACGATCCCACAGTGAAGATTGGAACTCTCTGGATGGGCAATATGCGGATGGTTGTACTCCAGATTTATATGAATGCGGGTATCTCCGAATGCTAGTCTAAGAATGTCCCTCCGGATATTTGGTGGAACTCGAAACCAGAAGCAAGTCTCTTGATACCTGGGCCTCGGACCGGAGGCAGAAGCAGTGGAGGTAATAGAGCTGGATAGAAGGTATAAATCCGGCGTTAGGGCTCGAGGTCTGGGAGTGGGAAGCAGAGTGAGTTCCTTAACACGAGCCTCCCAACGCTCATTCCGTTCACGCTCCTTTTCTTCAGCGTTGGGGTCTCGAGGGCTAAAACTCATAGCTACTGGATTGCAAAGCGGTTGGTTTTCGATGATGATTGCGGAGGGAAGAACAGGTGCGCGAAATTAGGTTAACATCAACGACGAGGTATAACGTGTTGGTCGTAAGTCGTTGGTTGTTGGTTATGTATTTGGTGTGTTTCAGAATTGCTATGGGCCACTGACAGTGGGGGCACCTGCTGATTCGTGAAACAACACGGGCGCTAAACCGCTGATCCTAAAGATTTCAGCGCACTGTGCCGTTGATCACAGCGCTTATGGTGTTCAAATGCTTTAGGCAGCCCAGGCAGCTTAGTTAACCTTGACAAGAGAGAGAGTCATAACAAGATGCGGACAGCATTGACATCCCCTCTCAATAAATTGAAGACAAGTTGATTTCTTTTCGAGTACCTAGTCTTTCTTATAATATTTCCTCTAGGATTTCCAAAATCTGGACTGCATCGTCAAATATTGCTTCGCTCATAGCTTTTTACTGTACCCGACATGGCTCTTTTGCACAAATCTCAAGAATCCCTGCCCCCCTGATCTCCACCAGGCCTCTTCCTAGATCCTGGTACCCTTGCAATAGCATCTAAAGACCAATCCCATTGGTCGTAATACCTATGACAACGTCAGTACTAGCATTCCGGTGATAGCGAAGAACAAGACTCACATCGCCAGAGCAAATAATGCCAGTGAATCGGCATTCTTTAGAGCTTTTTCGGGGCCGCAGTAATTTTTGTTTACCTTGTCTTCGCACCTTGCAAGGTTAAAAACCATGTTGCTACCGTCTGAGCACCAAGCAGTCAATACTAAGCTTTCCATGCAGCGTAGATCACATTGACAGGGCAACTTACATGTCATAACACGCTCGTAACCCTTTGTTTCGGCCTCAATGCGGCTTGGCTCGACTTCTAAAACCCTGTTTCTGTGATTTATCCTATAAATCGGCCGACCGCTTCCATCTATCGCAGTTTGGTCATCGACAACTAATAGACATGAGTTAGGCGGATAGCCAACGACAGGAGGCAGCAACATACTAGGCCCTGGGATGCCCTTCGCATCCCTCACTGCACCACCAAACCAATGACAAATCTCATGAACCATGATGACGGATAAGTGATTCTGATGATAGTCATTCAATTTGGCACCTGCTACAATGCCTGATCTCTTCCATTCCCGGGGCGATTTTGTGGCCTTCGCTTGAGCCTGAAACATCTCATCGCAGAAGACTACAATATCTTTGTCCCAGGCAACGGCACCGAGCCAACCATCCTGGCAGAGGATTGGCTTCTCGTCTTCGTTATCGGCCCATATAAGACGATGGTCAAACGCCCATAATCCTGGATATTCAAAGGCGATTTTCCGATATTGCTCCATATCAGAAATGGGTACACGCTCACCGGGCAAGATATCGGTGACGCTGTACCATTTCCACTTCTCTTCTCCTGCATTCTCACCACACATCAATTTTGGCTTGGCGTTAGGAAGATCTCTTAGCCCGTAGACATATCCGTGGGCTGGGTCCCCCTGGTCTGCAGGAATGGTTCGTTTCATCTTCGCAAAGAGAGCTTGATGGCTGTTAGTGACAAAAGCGTGTTTCCCACCCAACTAGGAACGCACCTGTGACTTCTCGGAGGTAATTAGTCTGTTTAGCAGGCTTGAAGCCTAAGAATCCCATGCAACACTTGTAAATAGATTTCCATCTGTTTAAGCGTTCTTTGTGTGTTTTCTCATCCGGCATTGGGCCAGCAACGAATTCAAGAGCGTCGTGGGCAGCAGTAACGATGTCCAGAGCAATACTCATTGAGTCTTCAACATACTGAATCTCATTATCGCAGCCACTATCAAGATCCCAGATCTTAAGGAGACTGGCGGTCGTGGCGGTGGACTCATCTGCTGTAGTTGTTTCAACCGCTTGGGTGAGCAAAACGATCAACCCAAGCGTAAGCCAGAGATAGCCGAGGAGAATCATGATTCTTGCCAATTGGAACCTGAGTGGCACAGGCAGAGCTGACTGGGTGTACTGGTAAGTACAGAACAAGTTGGTAGCTTGAGCAAAAGCTGAGAAACGTCTCCTTAAACAAAGCTGCCCAAGAATGAAGTTGTATTATTGTGACAGTATTGGAAAGACACAGAAGAAACAGAATGCTGAGATTCTATGGAAGACTCAGCTGCATTTTGGGCAGCCAAGTCCAAAGACTGGAAATCTTCATTTCTACAGCGCCGGTCGCGTTGGTTGTTGGTTGTTAGACGAGAACCCTGTAAACCTCGCATCATGACCTGATAATCTATGCAGGGGCTAGAACAAAGCGCTAAAATCCCAGCCAAGTTAATTTTAGTCCATGGATTTCTTCGTTTCAACTGTTCCGCACGGTTGTCTGCCTAAAGCGCTGATATCAAAAAGACTTGCAAAGTTGTAAGAACCAACAGCTACCCACTGATGCAGCCTAATCGATCGCACGTATTGGTCAAGGAGATCGGGTGACATTGCGCGTTACGCTCCTCTTAATCTCGGCGCGAAACTGATGCTTTTTCAAATAGATTACACCAGCCTCAATGTGTTGGTCAGACTGTTGTTGGCTGGTCATGGCTATGCCAACATGCTCTTTCTGGTATCTCGCCGTCCCCAGGTTCGCAATGTTCAATGATTCGAGGTCTCCTCGATTCTTCCTTTAATCGCAATCCAGTATCTCAATTTCCTCTTCACTCACTCATTGATTCGATATCGCCTCCATACAATGGCCTTTCATTCCCTGATTTGTGTCGTTTTTCTTGGCCTTTTGGCGAAAACATCAGAAGCCAATCTTCTAGGCGACACTCATCTGTTGAAAAGATATTCCCAGGTGTACGATGTGCCACCAGTTTCCACTCATTCGGCCAACAATATTCTTTCTGGTAATCCCAATGCCACCAGAACTCCCATTCATAGTCTCCTCCCTGTCTCAACACTTCGAATGATCGATGGTACTTCGCTTAGCTCAAGTTCCTTCTTCGAGAGCACGGGCCTTGAGACTGATACCGACACCAATGCTTACATTGATCATGGCACTTCCAAAGTTCTCAGCCAAACAACCAAGAGCATCTCTGACCCCGTCTCAGATGACCAGGGCGTATCTGTAACTTCCATTGAGGTCGACTGGACGGGATTACTTCCTGCCACTCCTTCAACCAGGGAACCCTTATTCAAAACGACGCGTCCATTGACTAGTCAAGACCCAGCTTCCACCGACCGTGCTACTGGGATCACGCCAGATCTCGGCACATCCTATGATACTAGTAGTAGCAGGGCCACTGAGCCAATCACTACATACAGCTGGCCTGAAATAACTTCAATTGCTAATTCGGATACCTCTATCGGGATTCCCGAAAGTTCTGGAGCTACCCGAAGTGGAACTGAGTCTAAAGAGCTCGGTACCCCTGACGAGACGACAATGTTTCCGAGCCATACCTCGCAGCCTTTCCAGGACTCAATGAGCCGGCCAACCACAACGTTTCCAGACCAGACAACTGGTACAGGCAACTCAAAAACTACTGCAGTTCAATCGGACGATGAGCTGGGTAGTACAAGCCTATCTTCTGAAGCCCTAACCGTATCTGATGGAGCTTCTCGGACCCTTGAAAGTTCGCAGCCTACCATGGAAACCGGTACGGCCGAATTGGAAAGTCCATCGACTCTGACACACTCAGCAGATCGCTCTCCGCCCTTGACCACCCTTGAGAAAACAGTTCCAGTCACAAAGTCTGACCCCAATACCCTAACTAGGGAAAAGACGTCAGAAATCACCAACCTACCCATAGCAACGGGTAGCTTAGCCTCATCAACTATGACCTCAGAAGATGGAATTGTCACAGGCACGGATGGTACGGTGGCAACATATGTTCCTGAGCAAAATAAAGACTACATCTCATCTACTGGCACGACTACCACCACAGACGATGATGGTGCCGCTATTGTCATCTTCCCTTTTGGATGGTTTTGGAAGTTGGGCGGCGTTCCTGGAGGAGGTGGTGCAGCTAAGCCTCCTGCACCGACTGCCAACCCTGACCCGAAGAAACAGCCCGGTGACAAGAACGAGGATGATAACGATAAAGACGACGACGCCTCGACCAAGGAAGATGAAAAGTCTACAATGGTGTCTACGGTACTGCCAACTACGCAAGAGCCTACTTCCACCACCACCACCTCAGAGGAAACAACTACCTCAGAGGAATGTACAGTTGCAACACAGCCAGAATGTACTAGGACCGTCTCATACATGACTTCCGACGGAACTCAGATCATGTAAGTACTTAACTATATATCTTAAATACCCTGGAAGGACACTGATCGTGCTGTTTAGGACGGAATTCGGTGACTGTCCGACAATCGCCAGCTGTGCTACCGAGACTCAGGCCACAGAAACTGTGACTTTGACGGCGGAGTTTGTCTGGGCTGGGGTTCCCAACACCAATCCTGTCGGTGTCATTCCGCAGGACGCTTACACCGCCGATGTTGATCCAGAGATAGGCGCAGCTCTGGAGGCGGAATGGGCCGAAATCTTTGGTGACGATGATGGTTGGAATGATACTGTGACAGCGACCAGTTCTGGTTCTACAACGGTAGACGAGTCAACCATGGCTAGCCTGACCGATTCAGAAGCAGTCTCCACCGTCATCTCCGAAGATTCTACGACTGTACAATCGAACAGTTTGACTTCGAATGCAGAAGCAACTGCTACTTTCACAACAGCCTCTGATACATATTCAGTCACAAAAGCTCCCAGCACGTTAATCACCAAGACCAGAGGCACTGGCGATACCACTGGCACGCCGATATCTACCGGCGAGGAAGTAACTCGTACATACTACCCATGTGTCATCCATGGCGGCCCTGCAGTTGAGACCCCATGTTGTCAGTGCTCAACTACCATCAGCGGTGAAGGATACTACGCAACGACTAGCTTGGTTGACGACCAGTGCACCGCATACACAGAGTTCCCATCAAAAATAACTGCAGTACCTGAGACTGGTCCCATCACCGATGAGCCTATCCAGCAACCCATCACCACCACTACAGACGGGACGGTCTTGGTATGGTCAGCTTACATGCTCAATTATATCAACATCCCAGGTATCACAAAGATCACCCAGTCGGTCGGCGTAGGTGAACCTTCAACAGTATCCACTCCGTTACCGAGTCAGACTGCTGTGGATAATGATGGTGGTGGACAATGCGGTACTGGCGATGGTCTATCTAAGAAGGGACTTCGTGAGGCTTGCGACAGAGCGATCGACAAGTTTGAGGATGACACCGTATACAGCGACTATGCTTCTCGCTACAGCCGCTTGACCAAAGGTATCCTTGTCGCAGCTTCCTTCGGCCAGGCTGCATGCGTTGCTAAATTTCAGTGTGACAATTACGGTATTGGCATGAAAGGCTCAGACATCAAAGAGGCGTAAGTTATGGTCCGCTTCAGATAACACCCATACTAACAGAAGATTTTCTAGTCGAAGGAGTGCTAAAGAGAATGACGGTGTCGATATCTGCGGACATATACGCCTTTCCAACTCATGTACTATCATCATGGACTACTGTACCAACTGCAAAACTCGAGGCTAGACGTTACGTTAAAGTTTTAAGTACTGGGTCTTTCTTTGGGTCACACGTATCGGAATTATGCTTAATACTAAACGGACTGTTTGCATGAACTTTTGTAAGCCTGATGCTATAAGCTTTCGCTTCGAATCCTTCAAGTGTTATTGCAGATGACATGCAGCAACTCGCCAACCGTTGATATGCTGTAACTAGGTCTTGCAATGGGGCAAGCAGGTTCAACCCACTTTTCACTGATATCATGTACAATAAAATAAGGGATAGGTCCCAAAGTCAAAGTCAAAGTGCCGAGTAGCCGTAGAAGTCATATTATCGTCCAACACTTGACCAATTCACCATCGAATATATCGAGAATGTACGGTCTTGCTCAGTAGAGTGAACATTAAATGTGGCTTTTCATGCTAGTGTCATAAGAAAAGGATCGCAGTGATGACAAAATAACTGTAGATTATCAATATGAGATCGACCCAGAGTATTGTCTTGCCTCTTGTATTATCATCGAGCCCTTTATATCTATCAAAACTTAAACAGAAGCGAGTTACAGCTCTCATCACACCAACTTCTACCTCCACTCGTCGTTAATGGTACTATTACTTCCGCACTTACTGCCCGTCGCAGCACTGTTGTTCGGGTCACTCTCCCATGTAACAGTTCCATCACTCGTCTTCTTGATATACTTATACTCGAAACTAGTATCAGAAGGAATATTCACCTTCACCGTCCACAAGCCCTTGGTGCTTGTGGATTCCTCAAGTGCAATGCCGTCAGCAGGGGCCCAGTTGGAAAGTTGAGTGATCCCGCCAACAATGTAAACCTTCTGGTCAGCCGCCACATCAACGTTCTTCACATTGAATGTGATGGTGGTGTCGCATGCTGGAGCTGCTTCGCAGACAGCGGGCACCTTGTTGGCGCTGCTCTCGCCCCAAGCTGGTGGCACGACGCCAGTGCGACGCTCAGCGGCACCGACAAAAGAAGCGTAAGACCAGGTGAGGTGAACAGCCGACTTGGGAGTTCCAGTAGACTTGTCGAACTGCTCCGCGAGGGAGCCATCCTTGGGAGTGTAGGTCTGCACAACAGCGACAAATCCATCAGCATATGAAGTGACAGCCTTGATAATAGCCTTGTATGTCTTGCTGTTCTTGCTGTAGGTGCCCTTGGAGACCTTTGGTACAAGGTCACTGAAGAAGGGGAGCGAAACACTATCAATAGTGATTGAACCAATCTTGTCCCATTGATAAGCAGCAGCATACAGCTGCTCGGCAGCGGCAAGAGTAGCCAAGTACCAGGGGTTGCCGTCGTAGTACACATCCTCACTGTACCGACCGACAGCAGCAGCTTTGCCTTTACCTCTGTTCTTGTTGACGCCGTAAATGGAGCGGAAGGAGTCCACTACTGCCTTGTGGTTTGCAAGAGCTCTTGATGAACAAGGCTGGAAGGTTGAGTCTGTGCACTTCGAGGAAGGATCAAAGGTATGAATTGACGACAGAATGGAGTTTGCATCAAGGCCCTTGCGACCATCGTTGACGTTGATATTCGAGTCGATGTAAGTGCCGGTCCAGAAGCTCTGCATGAAACAGAGAACACGAGGAGCGTTGGCTGTGCAGTCGGAGCAAGACTTGCCAAGCTTCTTAGCAAGAGCAGCTCCCTCGACGAGAGCACGATGTGAAGCAGAGAGGGTGAAGAACGAAGATCCGTTGACCTCCTCCCAGAGATCATAGCCGGTTCTATTCCAGAACTTGACGGTGTACGCAAGATCCTTCTCAATGACGGGCCAGACCTTGTTGATGGCCTTGGAGCGGTCGCCATGAGAAACAAGCCAGTTAGCGTACAGAGTCAATGCAGTAGCTCTCAGAGGAGGGCCATCGCGTTGAGGGCGTCCCCAAGATCCTGTGAATGCTGTGAGATTGACGTGGAACTTGGGCTCACCAAGGCCGCCTGACTCGGGACCACCGGATGGGTTGGTGACGCCCTGGAGCTTGGCTTGGGCCGAAACGTATTCGTCAATCTTGCGCTGGAGAGACTTGTCTCCCTGGATGAAGCGCTCGACGAGGACTTTGTATGTCAAGGCGGAGTCTCGGGTCCATGTGTACCAGTCTGGAGAACGTCTCAGTCATCAATTTTCGATAGTATTCTGCATATCGACTTACAGTCTGGGTCTGTTCTCGATGGACTTGCTACAACGGCACCAGGAGCAGCGCCCTGAGCTCGCTTGCCATCGGCGCCAATATTGGCAAGGACGCCCTTGAGGGAGATGTCGGCCTCTTTCGAAATGAAGCGATCAAGGCTGGAACCGCCAGGCGATGCAGTGGCCTGGCCTTGGAAGGCCAACAAGACCGTGAGGCCATACAAGATCTGATTAAACATTCTCCGTGGATACCAGAAGGGAGAAAGGTTGGCTATGATGAATGAAGGACAAAGAGGACTGTTGATGCAATCACTAGCAGGATGATCTGGGTTATATATCCAACTCAAAAAGACGCGGAATCATTCCCCATCATGAAACCGTCACGTCTTGCATATTTCCGACTGCACTATCGAATTAATTACGCCGAGAATCATGAATCTCCGTAACCAATAGCAACCTCAACCCCAGAAACCCCGATTTAGCCTCATGACGTTTCTGGGGTAGGTTCGCTGATCACCCCGTCATCCCCGCACTCGAGATGCTCCCCTGGGCTTAGCTCATCAGGTCACATCGGTCCTTTTTACGCACCAGATGATACTGATGAGATCGTGAGTGCGGCACGGTGAATATGCTCTTCATAAGTATCGGGCCTTTTCACCTGTTTTATGGAGTGAACTGAATCGAATTGAGCGTTTCTCCGGCGGCCGTTGAATCTGACGATATCACATGGAACCCGCTCGGCTATGACCTCGATGAGCCGAAAGCTTAATGATTGGGTAGCTAGACTGTTTTGGGCAAGAACCGCGGCAGCCTGAATGTTGGGATGAGATGAGCGTCTGTAGCCGCGATGCCTTTGGCTTCTGATCGTTTGGCACCGGCGGTTTTTTAATGATTTCATGCGTGAGCCAGTGTTTACTGAATGAGCTGTGAGCTGACACACAACCCACGTCAGCAACAATAACAGATAAAAGACGCTTGAATCACGAGGAATAAGAAATCTAGTTACTCCCTCCCACAATATGTTGATTTCTAGATAAACGATGGATCTTTATATTCACGTTTGCCGCATGTATTCAGACATTAGCCAAAATGTCTTGGTTGTCATTCTATTGCCATTGGTGTAGGGTATCTTCGGATCGAAACAGAAAGTAACTGCAGCAGCAAGAGCCAGTTCGTGAGCGAGCTCTTCTTCTCAAAGAGATATTTAACAAGTATAAAATAGAATTGCTTATTCTGGTTAATTTATTCTTTAAAAGTTTTAATTATTGCTATTTAGTTAATGTTACTATAATATAATACTTTATTTTTAAAACATTTCAACAGTCAGAATGGCCAGTCTACAGCGCCAACAGAACTCCAACAAACACAAGTTAATTACAGTGCAGCTAAAAGACTTGTTAATCACTGGCCATAAACGAATGAGGATAATCCCTGTTGCCTTTCCTTTTCCGGCGTCTGCAAGAGTATGAGTCCTTTGTCCTGTGCTCCCTGGTATCCATTACGTAAGGCGCAGTGGCAGAGTGGTCTAATGCGATAGACTAGAAATCTATTTCGGAGGCGTCTGTTCGAATCAGGCCCGTTTGGATGTCTTTTTTGCGATGTCTTGGTATACATGCAAGGCCACGTTTTTATCTTTTGGTCCAACGTTTTGATGAATTGGTTCTATGAAACTTGCTCCGACGCTTAAACCGTTGTCTATGGGTCGGGGATAAGTCTGTGGATAAACGACTCTTGGTTGGAAAACCTCACATATCACATCATCACAGCCACTAGATCACTCAGTCAATAAACCCCTTACGCTGGGACCATGATACTCTTTTTGCTTAATGTATGTCTACGAATTTGAACACATATAATTACGACAAGAGGCGGCTTTGTTGTTTGCCACAAATTGGTGCCCCTTCATGCAGGTAGTCGGAGTTGGCTGTTTTGACAACCAGATCAGCATTAGCTCTAGAGACGACTTGAACGCCTATCTCATCTGCACGGCAATATACGATCTACAACATTGTCTCTTATTGGAATTGTTGATCTGCGCATCGAGAACCAATACCCGAGACATCTCCAGATATGAGGGTGTTTCCAAGATTAAAGGAATTCGGAGATAGTCAGCATTCCTCCTCATCCAGCCCATCTAACCAACAACCAACAACCAAGAGCCAACACTCACGAACCGGGTTTCGAACTGCATGCACGAAAGCCACAATTGTTGGAACAGAAGTTGAAGTACCAACTAATATAGAAGTCAATTTCTCGTATACGGACGGGTATCTAAAGTGGGCTTTGACCCTTTCCTTCTAGAAGCGAAAACCCCCTTGTTCTCGCCTGAAGGGTCAGCTCACGACATCATTCCACGCAATTCGCTTCTCACTTCTCGCTTCTCGCTTCTCGTCCCCAACAATTCTTCGGCTAAGGGAGCTTCATCATACGAGTCCTCTTGACTTCTGGACCATCGTTGCCAAGATATCTAAACGTGTATAGACTGTTGATCTTATCAGCATATCAAAGTCAATTGAAAGGGGCGGCTGCACGTACCTCCAGTGAAGGTTGCCGAGTGCGATATTTCGGCATCCATTGACAAACTTTATGACATCCCTGTCGATGCCCTCGCCCCAGAACGGCAGATTCGCCAAGGCCATGTGCCATCTTCGGTAGCAGTCATACAGCATCTCCCCAATCTGGTCAACCGCCTGCTGATCAGTCATGCCCTGATCCTTCAGGATGAAGATGATGTTACTCTCTTCACCCTGGATTAAATCTTTTCGGTACGAGCACAAGTCGTTTTGTCTGCCGTTGTCAGTGGGGAAAATGGAAGGCTTCTGGAAGGTCTTACAATGTGACTAAGTCGCATGTGATTCGTGATATGGCCTGCATTGAGGGA